TTTTTTTAATCTAAAACCAGTAGGAAAAAGTAGATAATGGTCAGAAGTGTTTTCAAAGAATCAAACAATCTCTATTTATTGATTGTATGTATTTATTTATTTACAATAATTTAATGCTGCCTACTGACTAGGCTCAAAGGGCTTACAATTTCAAAACCACCAAAATCAACATGCAATATAAAATCAATCCATTAATATCCATGCAATCATTCCCTATGCTGTCACTGTTCTTCCATTCAAATGCCACGTGAGATAAAACTGTTGTCACCATCTTTCTAATCATTGAATGGGAACAGCATCTTTCTACAATGAGCTACTCTGAAGTGATGGAGTTGCTACCAAGAAAGCCATCTCTGGGGCTTTCACCTGCTTGCCTGCTTGGCTGTGTCTACTTAGTACAGGGATGTCAAACTCACATCTTCACGGCAGCGTCACATGACATATTAGGACATTTTTCCCCTTTGCTAAACCTGGTGTGGGCGTGGCCAGCACATGACGCATCCAGCCCATGGGCCGGGAATTCAACAGCCCTGACTTAGTGCATGGATTTCCAAAAGTATTGGACTAAGAGAAGTATGCCATCCTCACCCACATCCTGCTATAGACCATCACAAGAATGACCAGCATGTTTTTGCCCCATGCCTAGGTTTGAGCCTTGACTTAAAGGGATCCAAACAGTCTTCATTATGAAGGATTACTTCTACTTGTACTCCAGTCATCCTTGTCAGTTTCCACTTTGTCTTTCCATCCAAATTTTGATGCACAGTTGTTTTGCATCAAAATTGCTGCAACCACTGCATGGGGCAGTGGTGGGTTCCAGCTCCCATTGCAATCGGGTGTCCACCACGCACAAGTGCGGAGTGCGCGCATGCGTACCCTCTACCCACGACCCTCCAGCTGCTCAGCCTCATGCATGTGTGCAAATGCTACAGTTGGCTCAAATAGAGGTAAGGAGAGTGGGCGGGCGAGCGGGCCCTCCAGAGCACCGTACCGGAATGCCACCTGGTGCTCCCAGCAGGCACTGGTACGCCCATACTGGTGCCACTGGCATGGGGCTGCTGCAATGATCATAAGTGTAAAAACTTGTCAGAAGTCACTTTTTTCAGTCCCTTTGAACAGTCACTAAATGAATCATTGTAAGTCAAGGATTATATGTATTTCTGATAACCATTGGTTATTGGTTAGTGGAGTCGAGTGAGAAGGACTGCCATCTTGGATCTAACGTGACCCTGAGCATGGTGCCATGAGATGTGTCTATGTGGGTTTTTTAAAAAACCCACATAGAGAGCCGAGGTGGCGCAGTGGTTAAATGCAGCACTGCAGGCTACTTCAGCTGACTGCTATCTACAGTTCGGCGGTTCAAATCTCACCGGCTCAGGGTTGACTCAGCCTTCCATCCTTCCGAGGTGGGTGAAATGAGGACCCAGATTGTTGTTGGGGACAATATGC